TGTTATGCATTGGGCCACTGCACTTCGCGGGAGTTGCGGCCGGCAGCGTAAAAGCAAAAACTCAGACATTCAAATGATTTGTACGGATTGATAACGGTATCATTTCCTTTTGGGAGGGCATGCATAACGCATACACCGGAGCCTCGCCGCGGAAACTTTGGAGCTGTTCCAGTTTGTTCTAATCTGTCAAAATGACGGACTGCTTTCATTTTTGCGGCATTGTTAGAAAAATTCGGTTAACGCGACCTTCTGATTTAGAGTATATGGTTCCAAATACAAATTGGTATCATAACTTTCACTGCGAGTAGCTTGTCATTACTAAGATGTGTCTATCTTTTCCTTCCATTTAGGTAAGGGAAAATTATTAAAAAAGCCTGCTGCATCAGTTGTATTTATACTAAAGAAAAAATGGAATACAAATACCGTAATTTTCGACTATAGGCCGCACCTAATATAAGCCGCAGCAGCTAAATTGAATGATGTGATACATATATAAGCCGCACTGGCACTATAGAGCCGCAGGTGTTTTAATTTTAAACCATATGTAAAGGGTTCGTGCACAGAGGGGATGTCGGGGAAGAGATGGCTGTTTGAGGAAGCTCCCCATTTATTAACATTTCAACAAACAAGTTGCATATTTGGCATAACGTATTCCAAGTGTTACCATTTAGTGCAATAGGTCGAAAAATGGGGAAAAGGCGCGGACTTAAGTCCGAAAATTTACGGTATTTAAATATATTAAGTAGAAATATGCTCATTGTACTACAATATATTACATTGCCATTAAAATATAGAGTGGTGAATAAGTATTAATAACATAAGACCTGAAGGAAAGTCACTTATTTGTATAAATATTTTAGTTCTGAAGAAAGCAGCAAATAAACGTGCATTTATTTTATTTTTCTTCTTCGTGTAGTCTTTTTATTGAAATATTCCCAAATGTTTTCTGTTACAGTGTTTTTTAACCATTCAGATTTTTTTTATAATAGTTCGAAAGAGAACCACATAATTTGAAATGCTGAAAATCGTATGAACCCTTTTTAAAGCTCAAAGGGTGTCTCCTACATTGATGTTAAAGTGAGTGTTCTTGAAGGTAAACGCGTTCAGTGTAATTTTATGCCCAGACTCTGAGAATACTCCCTCTCCCCTTTCTCCTCCCAGAACTCGAGGCGAACCCCGCTGTGGGACATCTTTGGACGAGCGGAAAGCACCGACTCGTTCGACAACGAGGACGAGGAGGATGGTGACGTTCGAGCTGAGCGGAGATGCCTCCTCATGCTGCTCGCCGCGGGGACCGACGACGAGGGTGACGGACTCAGAGGACGAAATGGGACTTGTTTCACGAGGAGCTGACGATACGATTTCTATGAGATTTACTAAGCAGCCCCGCCTACCAACCCCCCCCCCTCCCCCCTCTATGTATTACTAGACCCTGAATGGACTGTCCTTGTGCGAGCTGATAGACAGTAGCTTTCCCCCCCCAACCCACCCCTTGTATTGTGGCAGTGCTTTTAAGCAGGCCATTAATAAATGAACTTATAAAATATCTAAAAAAGAGAAAAAAAATCGGTGCTCTCGTGCTAAACTTTTTCTATCCTCGTGGGTCTACCTTGTGCGGTTCATGTTAAAAGGAAAAAAGAACAAAAATAACTCGATATAAGATTTAACAGAAATTATAACTTTCTTCAAATATTAATAATAAACATTGTCAAGTTTCTTTGTGGGTGTGGGTTTGACTTGTTCGTTTACTCAGGTGTAAATATGTACTCCTGGGACTCTGAGGATGCACTCGAACTTACTCGGCACCATTTACTGTAATCCTGATGGGCATGTTGTAAGATTTTAAATACGGTTTTCCAAAGGCCGGAACTTCTTTTTCTTTATATAAGCTTCTGATAGCCGATATATTGTGCTGATGTTCACCATAATTCATGTTCATGTTGTACTGAACAGTATTTAATGTGTCCCCGTGTTTCAGGGTTAAATAGTCTTTCATGAGACATTGAGATCAATATTGAACTGTCTGTTAAAGTCCAGCGAAGGAAACTCTTGTAAAGTTTTTGGCCGTTTACAGCAGGCTGACCGCTTGCCCTGATCCTGATCTTGCTACCTTTGGACATTTCAGAGACTGACCAGCTCGTAAAAGTGGTTTTCTTGTATTGGATTTGATCAGAAAAATTCTAAAAGACACTAATTTTAACCCCTAGTGTGCTGTTTACTACTTCTGCCCTACAAGGGCTACTACTGAACAACACTTGAATCCCATTGGTCAATGACATGTTTTATGAGCTGCCCAGAGCGATCAAAGATACATTTTCTGACAGGTCCTGGATCAGGGCTAGGGGTTCACCTGCTAACTGACCCCCAACCTTCTTTTCTCCCCCTTTTACACACAAGCGCACTACAAAGATTGAACTAGTCTAAATTGGCTCCATATATCAGTAAAAAAAAAAAAGAGAGAACTTTATTTAAAATCTTTTCCCTTCCACCATCTTGTATATCAACATCCAGGAAGCATTGTAAGTATGGTAATGCCTTCCTTAGAGCCAGGCTAAAGAGTCAACACTCTTCCAGTGCAGAAAAGTGTAATTCACTGCTCTCTGTTGGCTTCACTGAGTAATGCTTCATGTGGAGAAACTCGTCCACAGACTCAACCTGTTAAAATCCATTGGAATGCATATGTTTATACTGAAATGTGTGTTTTCTATGTTCCACAGCCATCCATCTTAACTTGAAATTAAAGTTTATTATCAATCTGAGTACTGTGTGGTCTATAATTCATATATTGTCTGTTGTCTTAGTGTTGCAACTCCAGGTTATTTCAGTTATCAATAATTCTGCTGATTATTTTCTCAAATTGTTTCTTTAAAGGTCAGAAAATAGTGAAACAATGTATATCTCAGTTTACCAAAGTCCAAAGCGCTCTATTTTAATGATTTATCTTGTCGGCCAAAATCTCTAAGACACTTATTTTAGAACCAAGAAAGGCTTGAAATCTTTCATATTTTAGACATGCTATATACTACACATTTGTGAGACATACTTTTCTTTTGTTTCTGTTATGCGCCATTTTGTTTCTTTCTGAAATGTTTGGGCACATACTGTAAGCCTAAAATAAAGAGATTTGCAAATATATCATAGTATGTCGAAATGATCAGAAAAGACAACATGGTATATGTATGTTGAAAAACGTAGGAAAAAAGGTTTAGTATAGTATGTTTTTACATGATAAACTGTCAAAGAAGTCATAGTCGAAATATCATGACCATGGTAAATCGCATATAGCCATCTTAGTATGCTGAAATGTTTTTTTAAATATAAGTAAACATAGAAAAATGATAAGAAAAACTGAATGAAGTATTAATATTTATATTATACTATAATATATGACAATACATATCTAGAAAATAGAAGTAAACATGTTCTCTACACAATATACAAAAGTATTAGAATTGCACAGTAGAATCATATAATTCACTCAATGTTTAAAATATTTTATTGAAAAGCAGATAAATAAATGGATACAACTGTTAAATAGCCTACAATATCAGATATTAAACCAACTGTATAGTCCATTCCACCAGACTCCATGCCTGTGTTTGCGCATGTCACTCTCTCCACCTTTAAAAGCATCAGAATCAGAAAGAGGGGAGAAAGGGAGGCGACCGTACAAATACAATGATCTCAGAAACTGGGAACGACAATCTGAAGGAAGACTATCTCCAATCAGAAGCGAGCTATTATCCAGACTCCCCCGTCTCCTCTTCTCCCGAAGCCGGGCAGCTGAGCAGGAGGCGGGACACTCTGACCAGCAGCGGCAGCATCATCTCGGAGGAGAGCGGCTCCATCCAGCGTCTGGTCTCCTCAGCCGCGGCCGCCTCCAGCATCATGACATCGGGGGAGTTCATGCAGACCGCTCCCCTGCTGACGCACAAATCCAAAAGGAGCCTGCTGTACAAGGCGCTGTGCTTCCTCCTGCTCGTCTTCCAGGGCGGCATCCTGGACTTCTACCTCATCATCTTCACCGACCTGTACTGGTGCTCATGGATCGCCACGGATCTGGTGGTGATCTCGGGCTGGGGGATTTTCTTCATGAAGAACGCGCGGAGCAAGAGGGAGCGGGCCTGCGGCTTCCACCAGAAGAGCTCCATCTTCGGCTGTAACCTCGGGGAGTTCACCTACGCCTACCTGGCCTGGCTCATTTATGTCATCGCCTGCACTCCCAAGGTGGTGCTCATCCTGGAGACGTCTATCCTGGACCTGATCGAGCTCAAAGTGCCGTGCGGAGTGACCGGCTTCAAGATCATCATGCTGCTGTCCGTGCCGCTGCTCTTCTGCCTCATCAACTCCATCATCGAGGATCTGAACGGGGCGACACGGCACCGATCCCAGAGCTGCTTCTTGAGCACCTGCCTGGACCTGCTGGACAGCTTCACGCTGGTGGAGATGCTGCTGAGGAGCGAGATCCCCACGCTGTACCTGAAGTACACCGTCATCTCGGTGTATTTCGTGGCTCTGGCCGTGCCGACGATCTGGCTTTACGAGCTCACCGCGTCCGAGCTCCGCTTCCGGTGGCTGTGGGCCCGCTTCTGTGCGAGCCTGGTGGTCAACGCCCCCCTGCTGGTAGTCAGGTGTTTCCAGGTCTACGTCTACGGGATGCCGGTGTCGGTGTTTATGTTCAAAAATATGTTCTTCTTAGTGTGTAGGTTCTTGGAGCTGGTGGAGCAGTGTGTGGCGGTTCGCGGGGTCCGGAAGCTGGCTGGAGGCGGCAACCCGGCCCAGTTCTCCCACTGCGTGTCCGAGAACGACATGTGTCCGCACGGATACGTCAACACCCTGGCTGTCACCCAGTCCTAGAGCCCGGCCTGGGGCCTGGAGCTGCTTGCGTTCAAGACAAAGCTGCAAATAGGAAAATCCACTTTCAAACTCCTTCTTCCAGATAGACAATAAGGATATCACAATAAACCTACTTGAAAGGCAGCCTTTTTAGATTTATCATTACACGAAACAGGAATAGGGTACTTCGAAAAATGATAATAAAACAAAAGGAAAAAGTAGAACTATTAATCCATAGGCTATACTTATAGAGTCACTTTATCCCAGTTACAAAAATAATTATTTTCTTATATATATCCAGGGGCCAACATAGTGGTAGTGAAAAGAAAATGTTAGTACCACTCACAATATAAAAAATGGCATTTGTCCTCGCACAATGTTCGTTGTCAGTGTTCATTACAAAGAAATAGTCTAATTTCTGAAAAGAGATGTGGCTTTTTCGACATATTTAATTATGATTTATTTCATATTTTTCAACAGACTATACTATACTTAGCTTTTTGACATATGAAACCTCAAAAGGCACCCATTCTTATATATTCAGTATAAAATAACACCATATATATAGTATATTGGAAGGCTCCCAAGATACCCTAATGCATGTATACAGCCATGCAGAAAAATATGACATGGCTTGTAGCTGTAGCCCTATATAAGATTTTACATCAAATGACCACAAAGTAAAGCAACCGATAGGACCTAAGGCGTTCAGGGACTCTAATAATCCCACCCAATAACCACATAGTTATGATGAATACACAGATTAATAACAACAGGCAAAACTCTTTTTTCAAAGCAGTTGGATTTTGTTGACAGGGTTTTTTGCCACACTGCAATATTGGATAACTTCCTCTTTGACTGATCTTTTTTGAAATTTCTACTTGGAACATTTCACATGATAGGAGAATGGATTTTCCGATTTTTGGACATGTCTGGAACACATCATCTGTACCAGCCTTACAATGTTCTCCTTACATAATCTACAGGTGCTACAGTCAAACCAAACACCTGCAACAGCCTACAACAAACAGAAGAGCAACTGTAGTGAATTGGACCTTGTTGAGTTGTGTGTGTTCTGTCTGTGAGTTTCACCGCTGCACTTGAATGGAGACGGCAGATGGACTTGGTGTCGTGTTGGGACGTAAAGTGCAATTTTTAGAATCTTCTGGACTGATTGACCAGGACTCTGCTCCCTCCTTGTCCACCAGTGTTTTCTATTGGTAGAAGTATTACTGAGAGTAGACACATATGTTAGATCCGACAGTGCCATGACAAACAGGTTTTCTACAGCTTTTTCAAATTGACCCCTGGCCAGCAGGACCTTCTGTTGGCCTCACTGGCTGTGCTACTGTTTTAAAACTGTTTTCATTTCTGGGATCAGAAGTCCCCAAAGATAACTGTATTCAACAGCCCTCATTTAAAGAGCCTCAGTTCTCTGGGTCACCTCAGCTCTTAATTTATTTTTAAACACACCTGTGAGTCATGTCTGGAACTATAGATATTAGTATTCCTGTTTTAGAACTATAATGAATCCCATTTCTCCCAAAAATATATATGATACAAGTAATAGGAAATTGGTGATGATAAAATATTGTGCTTATGTCTGTAGAGATGATCATTATTGTAACTCCCATTTTTGTATGTCCAGTTCCAGTACCTCCCGACAAGACGAAGAAAAGTGCTCCTTTGTAATTGTCATGTACATTGTTGGTGAATGTTTTATAATTTACACAATGTCTGCCATTGAACCAGCTACCTGCTCGATTCTGTGCGTTGAAATGAACGCAGTAGGAAGTGATTTGGTGTTTTTAGGGGGGTTCAGTGTCAAGAGTTTGAGATTTCCAGTCATAAATGGTAGAACTTAATCAGTCCAAATCTTAAGTCATTCTTTTTTTCTTTTGATCTTTTTTTGTCAAAGGTGCCAACAATGCTAATAGTGCAACCATATCTTCAATGTTTACTTAGTTCATTTTGGAAGAAGATAAGTTGGAGTTGACACATGCTTGTGTGCAGTGGGCGACTGCATGCACTGAGACAAAACATCTGGACTGTGCCAAATCTGATTATGGAAGCCCTGAGAAGCCTGACTGGTGATCCATTGAACACGTTTTTTAGTTGCTTGTTTTTTTTTCAGACTTTACCTTAACATTATGGCATAGATACAATCTATAACAATCAATATGTGAACTTTTGGTTTAGAGAACTTGAAGAAATTCAGACCCACTTGGAGGAAAACATGAATTCCATAAATCCTATAGTGGTGCCTCTCGTGACCCAAATGACTATTACAACAACACACTACTTAAAAAATCTAAAATGTTAAAATGTTTTACAAACAAAAACGATACAAATGTAGATAAGACCTTTAAAATGGGTCACCAGGTTGTTTTGGTCTCACTTGTCTTGCGTCTGAGGGCTTCCTTAAATAATCAATTGAATCGAGTAAAAAGCGACAACATGCCGTAGCCAACCGGATGTGTTTATCCACCTTGATGTTTCGACGTGTGAACGTTTACCTCATTATGAGTTGATATGGGAGACTATCTGTTTGACGGGAACAGCTCACTTGAAGAATGGCTGTGGTTACACGATGTGCTAGTGGCAGTGGTAATGTACATAACAAACATGGCAGATTAAAGTATATTATATAATCAAAAAGATGTGAAGTGAAGACAGGTGCAATATGGGTCAGAGGAGTCGGAACAGATTTTAGTGCTTATGATTTTGGAGCTCATAGTTTGTGAGTCCCGGAAGTGAGGTAGCATTTTTGCTCTTCAAGTTCCCTCACCTTGAAGTCAATGAGTTTTCTGAATGGATTGTTGGTATGCCTGAAATAAGGCGTGTGATTAACACAAACTTAAAAGAGTTTTGAGGCTTTTAAAAAAAAAATTAAAAGAGGGTGTTGCTAGCAAGCGGTTAAATTAGGCTAAAGAGTTCATCACCACTAAGAAACTACAGTGCTTGGTGTAGTATGATTATAGCTAGATTGTTATGCTTACAAAACATACAGTGGTGTTCATTTGATAAGTTTAGTTTGCTGAACAAAACATCTAAGTATATTTAACTTGTGTTTCCCACAGAACTTGTTTTTTGCATCATGAATCAAAGGAACCAGCGAATGCTAACTTTCGGGTTGTTTTCAAAATGTCCCTGCAGCACAGTTTTGAGGGGGATTGAATCACAGTGAGGGTATACAGGGGTATCACAGTGAGGGTATGTGTGATTTCCTTGCTTTATTTGCCTCTCTGTGAGGGATCAGTGTATGCAGGTCAGAGGTTGTGCCTTGTGAGCAGTGCGGCTGCTGAGGGGTCAAGACTGAGGAGGAGGAATGTCCATCATAAAGGAACTGAGAGTGTATCCCCTTCAGTACAAATCACAAATAGTTTCAGGTCTCTGCAGGGGATTCTCATGCCGTGTTGAAATCCGTGGATATCTAGGGAAAAGCTAACTTAAAACATGCTCAGAAATGTCTAGAATTGATGAACAGTAGAAGTGTGAGACAACAACAACTTATTTATAGATGTAACTAATCTCACTCTTTTTCACACAAAATCAGGCAGTTCTCCTGTAAAAGGTTCTGACAAACTAAATTGCTCATGAACAATCCAAAATCTTGTTGCATTTGTTATTTTAAACAATAATAATGCTCATATTTTCGACCAATGAAATGCAGTGATATACAAAATTGACAACCTAATCTCAATATAGCTTTTCCCAGAGTTCAGAATGAGCCTTCACTCTTAACAAATATATAATGTTAGATGGATAACGTTGCCTGCTGTTATGAATATGATACGAGGTTATCCTTCCTGACTTACAGCTTCTATTTGTTTGTTGCTTATCATACATTGCCAAAGTATTTCAGAAATGTTATATTTTATACTATTTTGTGTTATTTCCTTGTGCCAGTAATCTGCAATGCCTTTGCAAATGTATCCTACACTGTTGTTAGCGCTTTGTTACAATCTTTTTTGGATTTGCACATGAAGCTCATCACTCAGTTATTATTATGGAGCTCTAAGCTGAAGTATGTTTGACCTTTAACCTGCATGGACGAGCACAGTGCAAAGCTACACTGGAACAACCAAAGGCTTTAATAGACGGATATTCAAAAGAAGCCAATCATGCTACTCAGATTTCTATTTCATTCTTTAGCCTAGGTGCAATGAAAAACACTCTCTTGTCTTACATTATATGGGCTTTCTTTTTGATCCTAATTTGTTTACAGGGAAATAATATTGCTGTTGTTTACAGATAGGATTCTACCTGTACTGTAAAGTTGTGTAGTGTATATCTGTACTGATATAATCTATGTACCGTAGATGTAAGACAGAGTATTATGTGGTCGAAACCTGAAATAAATCGGAGGAAAGTGTACAAAGTGATTTGTGTGTGATATTTATTATTTATCAGTTGATAACAGATAAAAAGGACCGACCGTGAAACCAAGATAAAGGCTTTTTAGAGACATTATTAAACAAAGACTCATATTGGAAAGGAATTGTAATACACACCGATAAAAGAAAAGAAAAACGTACAAAATACTTTATATAAAATCAGCCATTTAAAGTTTCAACACTGATTGAAATATAATGGAACAATTTGAACCATAATACATTTTGGCTGTCCAACGATGATTGTTATTACCAAGCAACATCTCCCGAAGGATATACAGTCTGTACTCTCCTTTTGTATTGTGAATGCAATATTGGTGGTAACTTGATTAAGTCAATTATATACTATGTAAGCACAAAATAAACTGAAATAATAAGTCTTAAAACCATTTTTTACACAGTCTATAAAGCAGTGATTGTACCAGAAAGAAAGTAGAGCTTTCAGACTACCCTTCAGGTTTTATTTTATTACATTCTTTAAAACATGAATAGATGGCTATAATTAAATGTTTATTTCAAAGCTCTCTTTGTGAAGTCGTGCCTACATGAAGTGAGACAGAAATGGCACATGTTTTCAATCCCTAACCAATCACAGACTCTCAAGTGATTTCCCTGCTTTAAATACTGACCAATCAGAATCGTCCCAACTGATTGGAAGGAGTTTAAGAAGATGGAACAGAAATGAGAAAAATGCAACAAGAAAAATGTAATCTTTCTTCTTCCATCTCTTGATTTAGGTTTATAATGTTCTGGTCTCAGCAAACCTGGATCAAACAACACACCATTTATTGGATATGAACAGATCTACATGTGCGTCCAAGTGTCCACTTATTTGTCCCTTCAAGGCATGACCTTGTTCAATTGTCTTCATTTGTTATGATCAAACAACATATAAATACTCAATTCGTTATTGTGATCAGAAAATCATCAGCAAACATAGGATTTGTAACATGCCCCACACCCCAGAAATACCTCTGTCTTCGGCGCGCCTACACCCTCCTACGTTGTGATTGTGCACGTGGTGTCGGTTAAAGTCAGTGAGGATTTTGTCCTTTTAACTTTGAACTGAGAGCGTAAGTTCTCTTCAGGAATCTATGTCAGGGTATTCCAAATCAAACAGCTGCTCCTGCAGTCTTCTCAGGGCCTCCATTGGATCCTCTTTTAAAGCTGATTCATTCTGGGAGGACATCTTGGAGATGTAGCCCTGATCAGACCCACTGTTAGGACCCTTTCCTGCGGGCTCCAGAACCTCGTCTTCCTCCTTCTCCACTGGCTGAGAGAGGACGGCTTCAGACGGAGGGAAATGCACACTCTGCATGCTGGTACAAGAAGAGTCTTGAGGTTCTATAACCAGGGAGTTCTGTGAGGCCAAACATCTCTGGTCCGAATGAGAGGAGGGTTGGCTTATGGGTAGCAGGTAATCCCCTTCCTCATCCTCAGTGGGATTTTGACTGAAGGGTTTTTCCTCGAGGGAGACCCAGTTCTGCCTTGGCGGTTGTGGATTGTTCACAACTGGCTCAACTGTGTAGACAGATTCTGGCCAGGGGCTGCGAGGGTACAGGTGATCCATCGACTCTTCATCTAGGGTTGACAGACGTCTGCACTCAGGGTTAACTACTGGTGTAAGTTCTGCCACTGACCAAATCTGGCGTTGTGGGTTTAGTTCAGGTGTAAGGACATGAACACCTACTCCATTTTCATTGATGTCTACCTCATTGATGAAGACAGGGAGCCCATCTCTTATTAGAGGAACACACTCGAAGACAGGGGGGATCTGCAGCTGGTCGATGAGCAGGCTGGCCTCAGTTATCACCTCCTCCTCATCGTCCACACACTCCTTCTCAAACCAATCAGTGTTGTCCAACTGGTAGGCCTGGAAGGTTTCAACGGCACACTTCAGATCCCTACCTGAGGGACAGTCAGAGTAATCGTCCGCCCCGATGCCCTTGATGTGGCGGACCTGATCCGGCTGATATTTCTCAACGTCTAAGATGCGGAAGTACAGCTCCTCGAAATGCTTCATCAGCTTGTACTTGACGCCGATGTCAAAAACCGACGGTACGTCTTGCTCCCCGCTGATGTCATCGAAGTACGCCACCATGTACTTGCCCAGCATGCCCGTGTGATGCATGTCAGGCAGGAAGAGGTTGAGGAAAGGAGTGAGCATGTCGTCGGTGGGGGACAGAACGTCTTCCCTCAGTTTCACCGGACCTTGGCCGCACATGGCTCTCCACTTGGCCTGAACGCCTCGCGAGCACAGCACCAGGATTTTGTCGGAAGGATTTTTGAGCTGTTGTCGCTGCCACTCGAGCCAGCGAATGCGCCCGACCACGCCGATGGAGGTGGTGTCCAGCAGGTCCACCAGCACCTCGGTGCCGCACTGGGCCTGGAGGAAGGCGCACAGTTTCAGCACCACGTCCCTGTAGAGGCGGTGGTCTTGGGAGTAGATGACCAGCACCTTGGGAGGTTGCTTAAGTTGCTGTGGTTGACGTATTTCATCTCCCACAGGTGGCGCAATAACAGCAGGGTTCCCTGAAAGTGCATGAGAGCATAGATAAATGCCATATGCAAATTAAAAGTAGTTTTTAAACCCATAACATTGAATGCTCAAAAATCAATGTTTAAATATAGAACTAATACTTTTAAAGGGGCCCTATTACGCTAGTTTTCAGGTTCATATTTGTATTTTGTGTCTCTACTGTGACATGTTTCCATGCTTTAATGTTCAAAAAGGTTTTTATTACTCTCATACTGCCTGTGCTGCAGCAGCTCTTTTCACCCTCTGTCTGAAACCAGAGCCCAGTCTGTTCTGATTGGTTAGCTGGCCGTCTCTGTTGTGATTGGTCAAACTCAATGTCCTGCCACTTAACCTATCAAGTACAATGTGTTGGATCGCTAGCCAATAGAAGCACACGTGTTACATGGTGATGTCATTATGTTTCGGAAGTAAACAAAGGAGTCCAATTGTGGCGTTTCAGGCAGGAGGGGAGTGTGTTGGAGAGAAACTCCCTCTTGTGTGAGCTTTGGTATTTTAGCCTTAACCTATAGAAAATAACCTCTATAACACACTACTGGAAAGGGAAGTCTCTAAAAAAGCATAATGAGGTCTCTTTAAAATGTACTGTATATGTGACTTACTTGGCTTCCTACAGAGGAGGCACATCATAACGGTCAGCACGACACAGAAAAAGACCACTCCCACAATGACAAATGTGTACACTTGGACATTGGGGGCTTCTGTTGGCTTCACTGTGGAAATGAAAACACAAATCACTGATTAGCATTTCCTTTGAGGTGCAGTCGCTATGGCTATTGTATTAACTGCCATGGCAAATGTGTACATTTATAGCCCTTTGGTGCCACTAGTTGGTAGAAGGTACCAGGTAGGTACCAGTTACAGTATGGTTCATTCAATCTGATTTACTTTAAGTTTAGCCCATAATGGCTCATGATTTAGGTCCAGATTTCACCTAGGTGTAGTCTGATTTGTAAATGACATCACATTTTATATCTTGATGAAAACTGGCGTTGTGTTTACACAATGCCCAAAGCTCACCTTCATATTGTATTAAAGTATGTAGGGTCAAGTTCACATACTTCTTTTTTACTTACATCTCATTCCTCTCAAGATAACAAGGAAGAGACAAAGGAATTGAGGAAACACATATTTGTTAGCTGCATTTCCTTGTATAAGGTGATTATTAACTGTACAAGATGTATGTAAAAACACGGTGTGTTGATGAAGGGAGAGTCTATCTATCACCACTTATCTCTCCTGGTTATTCAATATTTATTGCCTTTTTTCAAAGGCTTCGTACCTGTCAAAGGACCAGGACAAATATCCACATTTGTCCTTTTACGGGGACAGTCCGTATCACATCGTAGGAACATAGGTTTGATCTGCAGGCAATAATAAAGACATGTTAACACATCTGATTATAGAGGGTGCAGAGTCAGCTTGAAAACAGACAGTTAAGTAATACATTACCATCACTCAGCAAAACAGATTTGAAAAGATTTACCTCAATGTCAAACTGGCAGCAAGTTTTCGGCCAATTGTCAAGTTTGAATGTTGCATTCAGGGTCGTCTGATTTCCCTGGGGAACAGAGAGTGATGATTGAGGCACGACATTTAAGAGTAGTGAACAAGAAGGAGATGCTATAAGAACACTTAGAGAGGCAAATGTAAACTCAAAATGTTGATTTGCCTTTCATTTGATTAGGTGCACCTGGTTAAGACTAATGGAGTGTGATCCAACTTCTCTCCAACAAATTCCACCCCCCTATGTATACAAAAGACTTGAATCTGTAATACAGACTACAGTTCAGAGGCAGACAATAATATTTGTAACTTATTATCCTCAGAATGTATGTGTTTTACAGGACAATAATGTTTAATATATAAAAGTGTAAACCATTATTACAGTATGTTTCATTATTTTCTTTCGTTTTGGGCGCAGAACCAATCGCTGATCGTTGCTACCCGAAAACTATGCGAACAAAACATAAATTCAGCCAATTAGCGTCCTCGCATCTGATGGCCAAGGGGCGACAAATTCAGCGCCCAAGGCAGTCTGTGCGTGGGAACACTTTGAGGTAAAGTTACAGTATATGATGAAGATGGCTGCTTGTACTTCTGGAGACCCCGGACCCAGTTTATACTTTATAAATACTGTAAACTCTGTCCAGGACAAGGTGATTGGACGTTTTGATTCATAGTTAACCACACTGAAGATTATGGAGGTATACCACACTACTCACACAGCTGACAACTATTTCTGTGTGACAATGCACTAATCCGTCTGTAAGAGATCTAATGAATAACTAGGCTACATCGAGCCAATTTTGATGATTATTTTGAGGAGTTTTTTTGTAAGGTCAGTCAGCAGCCTTTGTAAGCCCTTCTACAACCCCAGTCAGTGAAAACCCCCCTGCAGTGCCAGTCAGATACTTTGAATCTGTTGATTAGTCTTCTAATACTATATATATGT